ATTTAACCCTTTGACATGGCTCCAAAAAAAAAGGAAAAATAAAATATTGGTTGGAAATATAATACTAGATTTTATGGGAATCGACTCCATACAAAATGCAACTTTTGTGGGCAAGTTATGAAAGGTGGTGGTGTGACCTGTTTGAAACATCACTTAGCAAGATGATATTCTAATGTTGTTAATTGCCCTAAATGCTCACAAGTAATTTTTAAGGCGATGCAGAAACATCTCAAAGAACAAGAGATGTTGAGAAAGCAACAAGAAAATAATAAAAAATGATTAGAAAAACATTGGGCGTAGAGACGATGATGATGATGAAGGAGAGGAGGAGGACATAGAATCAAGGCCTCAATATTTTAACATAGATGATGATGATGATGATGATGCAAAACAAAGAACATATAACATAGGAAGACATGCATCACGAGCTGCACAATGGGAAGAGGAGCAAGTATAACGATTTCAGAGAAGTAGGTCTGTATTTGCATATTCAGAGTATTAGGGGGTGGTGGCTCATCACAAGCATCCTTGTCAAGGAGTAAAAGTAAATTATTTTGTACGCCAAGTATGAAAGGAGCAATTTCAAAGCTAAATCCTTTAAAAAAAATCTTCATCAAATAGGGACACTCTTAATATTGAAGAGATTGATAGATATTTATATAGAGACAATGATGCTACATAGAAAAAACTTAATGAGTGTTATGGGAAAAGTTTTGGACATAATATGAAAAGAGCAATTGCAAATTTTTTATTATACAATCACATTCCTGCAAATGTAACAACATCTCCATATTATCAAGTTATTATAGATGAAATAGCCAATGCAGGAAAATGTTTGAAGGGACCTACAACTTATGAGGTGATGGGAAAGTTTTTAGATGAAGAAGTGGCTGAGTTACAAGACCATTTCAAGGCATTCTATCAGAAGGCTGACACTTATGGGTTTAACATCATGTGTGATGATTGGACAGGGCCAACCAAATTGTTTATCATAAATTTTATGATGTATTGCAATGGACAAACAATATTTCACAAATCTATTGATGCATCAAGTGAGCGCCATAATGCACAATATTTGTATAAACTAATGAATTCAATGATTAATGAAATTGGTCCTAAAAATGTTGTCTAAATCATAACTAACAATGGAAATGCTTACAAAGCAGCTGGAAAATGTTAAAAGAAAATAAAAAGAACATATATTGGACACCATGTATAGCCCATTGTATTGACATGATATTAGAAGATATCTCAAAATTACTTAAGGTGTGTAGTCTTATTACAAAAGGGCGAAAAATTACAACACTCATCTATAATCATGCCATAGTTCTCAACTTGATAAGGAAAATTACAAAAGGCAGAGAACTAATACATCTAGGGCCCACCAGATTTGCCACTCATTACATTGCACTACAAAGTCTTGTTTCTCAAAAAACAGCATTAAGAACCATGATTGATTAAGATGACCGAAGATTGTTGCAACAAAGTAAAACATCAATTGGGCAAGAAGTTGAAAAAATAATCAGTAACCTTAATTTTTGGATAGTGACTTCTCTATATTGTAATATGATTGAGTCCATCGTTAAAGTGCTTCAAATAGTTGATGGTGAAAAACAGGCAACAATGGGAATTATATATGAAGCAATGTAAAGAACTATTTTAGCAATCAAAGAAACTGGCCCAAATTCCCRTAAGAAGATCATAAACATCATAGASAAGAGATGAAATTCACAACTCGTCCATAATATTCACAAAGCATATGCTCTTTCTTAAATTTATATTATTTACATTCAATCCTTTACGTTGACTAAATATTTAAAAATAATTAATATTATTATATATATTTTTTAATTTCAACATATTATTTGAATCTAGCATTTCAATATTCTATGGATCTCAGTGTTGATGAAAATTTGTTAAGTTCTTTGAAAAAGGTGATTGCAAAGTTGGAGCTTGATGAAGATAATGCTACCATTGCAATACAAGAAGTATGTAAATTTTTATATAATTATTAGTTATTATTTGTTTATTTATTGTTCATTACTTTTTACAAATTTATAAATTATATAATATGTTTTGATGATGATTTGGTCATATAATATTGATACTTGTTATTTCAAATAACAATAAGGTCAAACTATTTCATGAGGCACTAGGAGGATTTGGAGATAGTCTGGCATAAAGCGCAAGAGATAAAACTGACCTAGGTATGATAGAGTTCTAAATTTCTAATATATTTTACAATTATTAACATTTTATTAAGTAATTTTTTATTTTAATGATATATGATATTGAAATATTTTTATTTTATATTTTTCAGCTGAATGGTGGTTGACGTATGATCAAGATGCCCCACATCTTTGAAAGATTGCAATAAAAGGTATTATCACAAACTGTTTCATCTAGTGGCTGTGAACGCAATTGGAGTACCTTTGGCCTCATCAATACGAAACAAAGGAACCGTCTATCCTATGAAACTCTTGAAAAGTTGGTTTATGTGCATTACAATATGAGACTAAGGATTAGACATCTTACTAGAGATAGGAGGCATATAACAGGTTATTAACCCAATTAACCTTGATGACATATATGATGAAGATGATTCGGTAATGTCATGGTTGGTAAAGAAAGAAGATACATCAAAGGTGTTAGATGAGTCAGGTGATCCATCAAGACCTGATGACTTTATTGCTTGTCAAATGGGGGTAAATGTTGATCACTGTGTTAGAGAACTAGAGAAACAGAAAAAAAATACTACTGATAGTGATGATGATGATGATGATGATGATGATGGTGGTGCTGGTGCTGGTGCTGGTGCTTGTGCTTGTGCTTGTGCTTGTGCCGGTGGTGCTGGTAATGGAGATGGTAACACTGGAAACAATCAATGTGCTAATTTTAGAGGTGGTTAACATTAAGGTGATCAAAGTGGTGAATATCTTAAATATATACCACAAATATATGACTCAATGCATTTTAGTGAAGAACAAAACTGCCATAGGCGTAGGGATTCACAATTAATGGGAAATTATGGTTATGAAAGACAAAATGAGTGGAGTCATGCCTATGGTCACCCTGAGAAAGAAATGATGCAATGCATGGGTAGCATGAATTTGAGATCATCTCTAGATTATGGATATGGCATGAACCACATGGCTACAGCTCAATCTGTTCTTAGATCTAGTTTATCTACTCTGCGTTCTTGGCTTTTTGGTGAAGGATATGATTATAGGCAAACTAATGATTCATCTTCATACAATACACAGAGTACACAACAATGTGATTCACATGATTATGGATCAAGTCATCAGCCTAAAACTCATTATTAGCAATGCACTTGGGAGAAATATAAATATTTTAGACAATCATATATGAATTCTTACTTCACCAAGATGACTTGGAATGAATATTGTTGTTTCGTTAGAGATCAATTTAATGTTTATATAAGTAACTTTCAATCTACGCGTAACTCCCTATGGTACTAATGATCGTCACTTCTGATTCAAGGTACGATAATAAATTGCCAAGTAATGACAATTTTTATAATTTTTCATGATTTTTGTTTATTTATTAAATATCTAATTTTAATAATATTTGATTTAGGTTGAGAATAAACTCCATCACTTTGTTACCATTCACCAATTTAATGAAGCTATGAATATAATGAAAGTGATTAAGATATGTTCTAACTTCTAACTTCATCATATTGGGACTCACATGTTCAATTTGTAAATTATAATAGATTGAAAATTTGAAGTTAGAACTTGAAATATTGGAATTGAATTAAGTACTTTATTAAATAGTATATTTTTATTCCCGCATATTGATTATAGTATGTTTTTTCATAAAACCCACTAAAACATATTATTTTTATGCATAAATATCCAATTTGTCTTATATTTAGTGATATTGATGTTTATTTATGATTTATTGAAGTATTTATAGCATTTCCATGTGTTTCCATGTGTATCTTAATTTATCATCTGTATCCATGCATATCCTAAGCGTATCTCGATACATCTCTTAAATTTGCTTTTCCGATACGCATAACATTTCTGATACTTGGAACCTTGCCCTGAATCAGTTGCAAAATTAAAAATTAAAAAAAGGCACAAAATTGCAATATCGATTTGACCAATACACCCCTACCAGCGTATCAATATTTTGAACTTTGATGTATAGTGCAAATCTTTGTATTTTGTAGTTTGAAACTTGTATTTGTATTCTTCCCAAAGTTTAGCAAATACAAGTATGCACAATGCAAAACCTTGTATACAATATTTCCAAACCTTGAATATGATTCAAATTACTAAACCAAAGAATTTATCAAAAGGCTTCAACAGAAGTAAACTCTAGTATCGATATTTTGAAAGGTTTTTAAAACCAAATCAGACAACAAACCGTTCAAGGGTCCAACTCCTAAGTCATACGGTCTGACCATTCAAACCGAATGGATGGTCCGTTCTAACAAATAAATAAATAAAAAACAGCCAAGCACCACTAGACAGTACAAACGATTTGAATGGTTCAATCACCCAGGTCAGCGGTTTGCTAACCAAATCAACAGTTTTTGGCCAAAAAAGACAGTTCTAGGGTAAAACGGAACCCGTCAAGTGGTTGATTCATAGTTTTACAGGTCCAACCATCCAGTCTAGTCCAGTTTTGAAAACCATGATATTTTGAACATTGATGTCCGGTTCAGGTTGGATCGGCTACTCCAACAGTAGGGTTCATATATTCAACCTTCACACTAACCCAAACTCCAACCTGATCCAATTCAACCCTTGTCATCTAGTGTGCTCCCCTAAGACTCAACATGGGAAAATTTTAGGCTGATTTCTTTGACAGGCATGCAAAACTTTCCTAACATGTGTATCATATTTTTTTTTTGGGTGGAAGGGTATCGTATTTCTTTATCTCCAAGTTCTTTCGTTGCAGGTTTTGTATTTTTCTTTTCCAAAATTTTAGGGAAGCTTAAAGTGAAATTAATTTACAGAAGCCACTTAATAATAAGATGGAACATTCCGTCCCTCGAGCTTGCCCCTTGCACTTACAAAACCAGATGATGAATTGTTCTTACAAAACGCCAATTGAAAATGTTCAGGCGACCAGTGGTAAAAGGAAATTACAAACTGTTACATGATGGTAGGTTTCTCAATATTAACTTCATCAGTCGCAACATCCTCAGGTCCACACTCTGTTGCTGAAATCAAAGAAGCTGATTGAATCTTTCCAGCATGCTCTAGCCTCATCAGAATAACTCCCCTGAAAATGTTTAGATTTCAAAACAAACAATGACAAACTCCTAGAAAATTAACTGGTCTTGTATAGAAAATGTGTAATCTGCAATTGCTAAAAAATAAAGGTTACATCACCACAAAATGTACTGAAAACTAGAATCCATAATGTACAATATAGTTATTTAAATACCAGTAAGAGCTCTAACTAGAAATGGCTATGGACCAGGTATTTCCATTTAGAATTATGAACTTTATCATATTCATACTTTCATTATAGGGCATGATATTTATAATTGTTTGTGCTAATCTGATGTGCAAAATCTGAGAAACCTCTGCATTTGTTTACAATGACAGTGAACAAGAATTGTCAAGACAATGAAGATGAGAGATGAAGGGATGATAACAGTAATTGTAGGTAGTATCACAAAAACAACTTTTAAATATCTACTCATCCAAGTCCCAAGAATGGATAAACCATTCTCTAATAAAACCTGGCAAAACGCCTCATTTGTTGTTCATTTACTTTACATCTCCAATTAACGTTAATATTGATGCGATCTTTCAAAAACCTACTTCCTGGATACAACCAATTTCCCTCAATTATAACTTTAGTCCTCGACCCCCCTAATCCATAGAATAAGTTTAGATCCCTACCCCTACAATCCATTTCTCAATTATAGTTTAGCAAAGTATATCCCAACTGCCAAGCATAAAAATGTAGACTCGAGTTTGTGAGTGCCCATTTCATACAAAAGAAATGCCAAAGGATAGGGTTAGACCAAGTCTACCCCTGTGTGGATGTTTATGTGCATGTTTGCACCCATGCATATGAGAGAGAGAGAGAGAGAGATCTTTCTAGGAGAGCAGCAATGTTGTACAAGATATTGCATAAAAGAACAATAGTTACCTTGCATTGCGTGACTGTATAGAAATATCTCGAACCTTAATTCTGTTTACTGTCCCACTTTGGCTTACTAGAACTACTTGTTCATCACTCTCACCATCTTCTGTTAAATTGATCGGCAGGATCATTAAAAAAATGCAAGGAAACTAATTTGTATAGTTAAAATAAAACAAAAATGTCAGTGTATAGAATTACCAGCCAATGAGAACCCAACCACAAATACTGCTGCTAAGCGGTCTTCTGGTGGAAGCTACAGACAAGGGAATGGCAACAGAATGAGTTTATGCAAATGACCAGAACAGTATTTCATCTGATTTAGGTATTTGGATGAAGAGGCAATGAATTCAATATACCTTGTACCCTTTTAAACCAACTCTATTCAAAGGTGATACACGGAAGCTGCTCAGAGGAACCCGCTTCCCCAAACCACTTTCAGACACAAATAACAACCATGGGGCCCCAGGACCCTTGACCCTGCAAATGGTAGGTCACATAAACATGGAAAGACACCATAAAAAGTACATTGCTGAAAACTGACCAGAAAAGATGCAAGTCACATAACACAGAAATAAGGAAAATAAAAATACCAAAAATAGAGATGAAAAAAGAGAACATCTGCATGTAAAACTGAAACACAAGGTGCAAAATGTTGGTGTTGGTGAAATATTTGTCATCCAAATGTAGGAATAGGCCAGAAATTTAGCATGGAAATACTGTAAAAGTTTAGACATGATGGAAGCATTGTGAAATATGTGAAAATTTAGAACAATGTTTTATAAAATGATAAAACAATCATAGATACACCCTTCTAAATTATTATCTTGATCCAAACCATCAAACAAAGATAAAACCAAGGTTAATACATACAATAATATGCTGGGAGGTTGTCCTGTGAACTTAAAGAGTTCAAACTACATAGTAGAATAAGTGAAACAAAATTTAAACCCATACAAGGTGCAAGAGATTCTAATAGAGAAACCAATTAGTCTATTACATAAACAAAAACTAAGACTTAATTTAATGTCTCAAAAGAATTTTGAACTGGTTCAAAGTGGCAATCATGTCCATTGGGCAAACAACAATTCTACTCCACATATCTACAATATTGTCACCAACTTATGTTATAATTCCATTTCATGTATTCCACATAGTGCCAGTGGTGTTCACTTTGGAATACGTTGGTTCTAGTAAAATTGTGTCGATACCCATGGAAATTGAAATATTAGGAAATAAGTAGACATTTTAAACCCTGCTTAAATCAACTGGAATGAACCAAGATAGGAGTTTAGTTAAAGGGTAATTTGGTTTTGCAAAACTATAATGTACCCAATAGCAATGTTTAAAAACATTGGATTGCTCCATTGTGACCTGGGTGACCAAGGTTCAAATCTTGGAAGCAACCTCTTTGTATGTGGAGGGATAAGGCTAGATACATCTGTCCCTCCCCAAACCCCACATTGGTAGGAGCCTCGTGCACTGGACTGCCCTTAGCAATGTTTTAAAACATGGAGACATGACACAAGTCATTCCATTACCTGGAGGCGTGAGGCATAGTTCAAAATGTAAGAGGCATAAGCCTCTCAAGCACAAGGAAGCATAAACCTCCTTAAGAGGAGGGGGATGAGGAAGAAGAGCACTGGTTGGAAACCTGATGTGAAGATACAATCTAGAGGGAAGGAGAGCACTGGCTGAGAGAGGGAAGGAGAGCACTGGTTGGAAACCTGATGTGAAGATACAATCTAGAGGTGGTTTTGCTGCAGTATTCAAGTATGGGGAGCTTCGATGTCAGATGGAAGGATGTATGGTAGGGTATCACAGTGGAGAGCTAGAAAGTGGAATGGCATCCAGTTAACAGAACTGAATTGGGGGAGGTTTTCTGGGAAGCAATTGAGCTTCAAATCTGTAATTGTGATTTCTTTCTGTTGACTAGTTCATGTGGTGTATCATCTTGACACCCATCAAGGTTGTGATGCTTTTTTTAATGAAATATCTTTTTATTTACTCTTTAAGAAAAAAAAAATTTGCAAACTTAGCAACAAAACACAAAACATATGAAAGGCAATGAAGAAATTACTGATTCTGGGGATTTTCTGACCTCATATCAAGCTCCATCCACAAGGCTGCTGGTATTATGTCCATGCATGCCATCTTGTCTCCTGCTTTTAGTCGCATCGCAACTGCACCCCTAGTATTTCTTCCTTGTGCTCGGATCTGAATCAAGTATCATGAGAGGAACTGGATGCTGAAGCATGCCAAATTTAAATAGAAAATACCAAGCAAACAAGAAATATGTGAACACTTGGAGTGATAATTTCAGATTGTTATTAACATGAAAAGAATTTCTGGAGATGGCCAACCCCAAGCTCAGATGATAAATATGATGATGAGCACAAAGAAGATGATGCATGCAACTACAGTTAGGGCTCAAGCTAAGACGACACATCTTTCATTCCTTCGGTCTTGTCCTTTTACATCTTTTGTTGCATGCTTATATTTAAATCACAAGGAAAAATCAACTTACATGTACACCAAAAAGTGGTTGCCATACATTAATTGGCATAGATGTCAAACAATAAAGACAAAACATTAGCGTCCTTTCATATTAGTAGGGGTACCCTAGTAACTTGATTATTCCAAGTTGTATCATGGCAGATTAGATCGTTTAATCATAGAGAATTACACAGCAAGAAAGAAAGGACCCTAATGATATCTGCAGGCTACTTGATGACTTCAATGGGATAAGGGTAACCAGCAACTACGGAGGAAAAAAAAAACCTTTATGACACTAGATATATTTTCTTCCTACTCTGGTCTGCTATTTCTAGCGACCCACCAACCCATGAGGAATTTATAATTTAGAGACTCAAAATGTCAGTCTGCTATTTCTAGCAGCCCACTAACCCATGAGGAATTTATAAATTTTCTTCTTTCCCATAAAATTTTGACTGTAATATTATTAGGATGGTCTATGAGTATCTATGAAGGGTGCAGGCCTTGGAAAGAGTGTTGCAGTTAAACTTGAATATTCTTTTTTCAAAATCTCCCAAAGAGCATAGTGACAGGCTCTCAAAGCTTTAGACACGGACCTAGGGTTGTAAGACCCTCATTTTTTCTTTTTTTTAACTTGCCTAAGGGGAAGATGGTTTGTGGGCCCAAGTTTTTAAATCAAAATACATCAAAAATGAAAATTTTCTCAGAGACATTCTAGAAATGCAGGTTCTTGGAGATCAAAGAGCATCTTGTCGAGTAGAGAGGTCATCGTAAAAGGGATGTTCTAGGGTGTGAACAGAGGCCACAATATTTCCATCTAGGATGATCCGTGGATTCCACCCCTTGAGGAAATCAAGCCTATGGGCCCTCAGCCTATTTCACTTAGCCCCAATGCTTTAAAAGCACAAGGCACAAAAAAAGCACAAGGGGCAATTCGTGCCCGAGGCGCAAGGCAAGGCATGCACCTTTTCGAAGCAAGGCACAAAAATACAAAAATGCCAAAAAAAATTAAAATATATATTTAACATATTATTAATAAAAAATATAATTTTAAATTTTAAAATAAATGTTTCAAAAATCTTATTATCTAAAATAAAATACATAAACATAACATGTAAAGTGCATTCAAATGAAAATATAAAAACAAAATCAAACATATAAAACATTTTCAAGCATGTAAAACCCACAATCTCTTTTTTGCCTCAATTGCATTACTTCAAATAACTAATGTGATGTACAATATCTTGCATTCCTAATTCTACAATCCACCTTTTGTACCAAGCACTTCGAGGCAAGCACAAGCAAATTCACGTTAAGGTCTTAAATTCTTAATCCCCAAACAAATCCATCCTGCATTCCTGATTCTACAAGACGCCTTTATACAAGGTGCACTAGACGCACGCCTTTTGAAAGTGCTGCACCTAGACCCAATGTTTTAAAAGTGCAAGGTGCAAAAAAAAAAGCACAAGGGCCAATTTGCAACTGAGGCGCAAGACGCAAGGCAAGGCACACGCCTTTCAAGAAAGGCACAAAATTACAAAAAAAGAAAGCTAAAAAAAATGTCAAAAAATTCAAAAAAATGCCAACAAATTTAAAAAAAAAATCAAAAAATATTAAGCATAATGTTAAAAAATAAAAACTTAAATTTTAAAATAAATGTTTTAAAAAATCTACTATCTAAAATTAAAATACATAAGCATAACATGTAAACCGTATTCAAATGAAAATTTAAAAATAAAAGCAAACATATAAAGCATTTTCAAGCATGTAAAACCCACAATCTCTTTTTCTCATTAATTGCATTGCTTCAAGTAGCTAATGTGATGTAAAACATATTGCATTCTTGATTCTATGAGTCGCCTTTGTACCACGCCCCTCGAGGCAAGCTCAAGCAAGTCTATGTTAGGGTCTGAAATTCTTATTTCTCACAAAAAATAATGATTTTATAAAAGGCGCATCATGCGAATGCCTAGGCGCACTAGGTGTGCGCCTTTTGAAAGGGGTACGTCTAGGACCTGGGCGAGGCACATACCCCAAAATGCAACTCGCCTGTGCGCCTAGGCACGCCTTTTAAATCACTACTAGGACCTAGGCAAGACACATACCTTAAAATGTGCCTATGTGCCTCGCCTGAGGCGGGCCTTTTAAATCACTGCTTAGCCCAAGTCTAGTGATGAATGAACTGATGCTGATAGAGCTGAGTGGAAAAGAGATTTGGTTAGAAAGTAGAAACCTCTTTTTGAAGCTGAAGCCAGTTGCATACTCAGCATTTCCTTGGCCGAAAGTAGTTGGGGAGATAAACTAATGTGGGCAGGGAGTAAAAATGGCATTTGTTCATGAAAAGTCAGCTTACTACCAGGCTAAATCACTAGGCACATCTTCCCCTTCTTCTCCGTACCCTCCCTCTGAAAATAAAGCTCATTGGTCACTGGTTTGGTCTCTCCTAGTGGTGCCTAAAATTAAAAACTACCTATGGAAATGCTGTTGAAAATCTTTTGAAAGTAAATTCAAAACCTGGTTTTTTGCTTGGTTGCCTATGTGCTCAAAATCTTCTTATCAAAGGCTGTTGAAAGTCTCTTCCGCTACCTCAATTTGGGCTATCTGGAAATGTTGTAATAAGATTGTTTTTTATAACATTTCCACTTAATGTTCCATTGCTACCTCGTTGCTTTTTATTGATAGGATGGTGAGGAGTATCCTCAAGGTTGCTCTGCCTCGGCCATGTAACACGAAGATGCACCCACCTAGTTCTAATAGTGTTTTTCGGCATCCTCCCTCTTTTGGTGTGGTTAAGATCAACTCAGATGGAGGTTTTATTAATAACAATAAGGCCACCTGTGGGGCTATTATTAGAGACTTCTCAAACAATTTTGTAGCAGCTTGCCTCGGACCATGTCAAGTTTCCTCTCCTCTTCAGGCTGAAGCTTTTGCAGCAAAGAAGGGCATGGCCTTGGCACTGAAATATGGCTTCTCTAGGATCAAGATTGAATCTAATAGCTTGAGTTTTATCAACAGTGCAGGAGAATTATATGGTGATTACTTGGCTATGTAATTCTATACTACCCCATATAAACAGAAATTTCTTGAGGGCTAATACAACTAAAGAAATTTGGGATGGGGTTGTAGAGACTTATTCACAAGGTCAATAGGGAGGATAAGAAGGATTTATTCTGGGATTACTACAAGAAGCCCAAGCATACCAAAGACACTTGTTGGAAGCTTCATCCACATCTCATACTAGTTCGAATAAGGAACAAGAAGGGTAATGCAAATATGGCAGCGACTATAGACTCATCTGGACCTCTCACTGCAGCTTCTTTGGAGTCTAATGTAGCAGTAGCATTCGCGGAAGAGTTGGAAAAATATGAGTACAACAAGGTGATAAGGAATCACCCAAACAAGAACTGACCCAAATACAACAGACCCACCCTAACAATCCTTAGAACAGAAAAACAACCATACAAACAATGCAAAACACCTTAAAAGCAAAATGCAAAGAAGTGGGTTGGGTAACAGAGTCCTTTGTCTCTGCAGGCTTGCTTCTCTGCCCAGGTCAGCCGTTTGAAAGGAACCAATGGTCCTGGGCCCAGCATTCCTTCCTTCTTGTCTGGTGCTGTCGTCTTGGTTCCGGACCCCATGGCCGTTGCACCTTTCTTGCTCGAGCGAACTTATCCTCATACAATCTTGCTAGCGCTGCCGCATTTATGACCGAAGTGGGCTGCATCACCTTTACTTCCAGTCGCAGTTCTTCTTTTAGGCCGCTGATGAAGCTTCCCACCAACGCCTTCTCCATCCACCCTTGGACTCTCACGGCCAGCTTTTCAAACTCCATCTGGTAATCTTTAACTGATCCCACCTGTCATAGCTTTGCCAAACTCTCATCATGATCTTCAAACCCAGACGATCGAAAACGGATAGTCATGGCATCAGTGAAGTGTGCCCAAGTTTGACGAGGGTGCCCCCATCGGTACCATTGAAACCAGAGGATAGCTTCCCCTTCAAGATGTGCAGAAGCCAAAGCTACCCTATCTTGCCCAAGTGTCTCATGGTAATTGAAATACCGTTCGGCTCTGAGAATCCAGGGAGTTGGGTCGCCGCCTAAGAAGATGGGGAAATCGATTTTTGCTGCTCTCGTTGCCGCCGGCCCTGTTCTGCGATTGTTTTCATTGTTGCGCTCTTCTTGGCTTCCTCTGTCGTTCATTGCCCCCTGCTCCAGCCAATTGAGGAGAACAATGAAACCTTCATTTCTTTGAGATCTGAAGACATTCGATGGATCTCTACCTCCATCTGATCCACTCGGGTGTCTACTGACGTGTTTCTTGTGTTGGTCATGCTGGCTCTAATACCAACTTGTTAGGAACCAGCCTAACTCAGGGCTCTTCGAGGGAGCCAACCTCCTGAATTCGTTGGAAGGAGAGAGAGAGAGATTAATGCCAAAAGAATTACAATCTTACTTCTCTTTGTGCTTCACTACTTATACTGTTTACAATCTTTGATTTCTTTCTATTACAACTATTGCAAGTGGACAATTAGTTGTGCTGACGTGGCCTCCTCTTGTAAAACTGATTAACTGCTTTCTGTTGGTCTGTTTCAGTAGTCTTTACAACATTTGTCAAGGTGATGCCTAGGCGAGCGCCCTTGGAGGTTTGCCTCGCCTAATCATCAAGCAGTTTTCTATAGCATGTTATAAACTTTAATTTTCTTAATGTTTTGAGGTTATAATTATAAAATAGACATTTTTAAACTAAAATATTCATTTTGTGTTTATATACTAATTTCTTTTTATTATTTTCTTATTTGTTAGGGTTTAATCAACACAGACATTGCTAAATGTAGTATTGAACCCTCAAAGACTGCAAAGCCTAAACCAATAAGGAAGAACTTAAAATGTTGTCCAATAAACACATTTTCTTCTTTTTCTTTACTAATTTTGTGTGTATATACTAATTTCTTCATCTTCTTCCACCTTTCTTTTCTTCTTTTCCTATAACAGAAATAGGGATTCAACCCCTATATTTTTTGAATTTTCTTTTCTTTCTTCTTTTTCTTCTCATGAATATGTTGGAATATGTTGATTTTCTATACTTTAACATAATGTTTATACTTTTCTTATGAAAATTATGGATATTTATTAAGGAAATATGATTATGGAACCTAGGGAACTACCCTAGGATACATGTTTTTACTTAAAAAAAATCCATCACCTAGGCGACTAGGCAACAAGGCGCCCCCCTGTCGCCTAGCCTCGCCTTGGCACCTTGAAAACGATGGTGATGAGGTGCCCTCCTTGGTTCAACAGTTTCACAAATCGTCTCACACGGTTTGGGGTGAAGACTAAGGTGTTCAAATTAGATAATGCAAGGTAATTTCAAAATAGACCTAGCAACTTACTTATTGGATCATGGGGTGATTCATCAAAGCAATTGTTCTTATACACCACAACAAAACGGAATAGCAGGGAGAAAAACAAACATATTGTGGAGGTGGAAAAAAGTCTTATGGTGTGTGCTTCAGTTTTAGCTCGTTTTTGGGGCTATGCAGTTCTTATAGCTATCTTCTTGATCAAGGGTTCCTTCTTGTGTCCTTGGGTTTAAAATTCCAGTCTTCCTTTTCTTGATGGGGAGACATTTCCTATACATCTAAAAGTTTTTGGGTATATTTTCTTTGTCTATATTATTGGTTCTCACCGTTCTAAACTGGATTCCAAAGCCAAGTGTCTTTCTTGGGTATGCCCAAAACCAAAAGGGATATACTATTATGATCCAGTGTCCAAGAGTCGTTATGTAACTACGGATGCCACTTTCTTTGAGTTCACATTCTTCTTTTATGGTGGTTCTCATTGGGAGTGCTTTGGGGAGGAGATTGAGCATCCTATTCCTCTTCCTATTCTTGCTCCTTGTCTCAAACCATGTGGAATTTCCCACTCCAATGGCTCCCAAGTAGATTGTCAAAATTGAGCCCTAGCAATCCTGGCAATATGTAATGATTCTTCTACCTGATCTTTGGTTTCCAAAGCTGCACCCATCAAACTTGAGTTTCACTTGATTGCTACTCAGAAGATTCCATTGCCAATTAGAGGGAAACATAACAAGAAAATATGATCTACTATTAGAGAGATGCAACAAGCTTTAGTAAAATAAAAAATAAAAACCTTAAACAATGTACAGCCCAGGTGTCAAAAAACCAATAAAGGAGTCATTAAGACCAAAAACCTAATCTTGCTATGTTTTCATTTCCCCCATTTATTGGTTGATGAAGATGATGCACTTGAAAAACAAAACCATAGTGAACAAAAATGCAGCGTTTTATTTTATTGTCAATTTTTCATTTGAATATCCATGTTTATAAATATTTAAATTCCTATATGAATTTTAATAGGTTGTCCTATATATAATTCATAGTTTGGACAAAAGCCATAAAATTTATTAATTGGATAAAATGTCTACCCAAATTTAATCCAAATTCAATACATTGACAGTCTTGTAATCAACCAATACTCTAACCTCAGAGAATTAGAGTAACTTAAACTAGTGGATGAAGAGGAGTTTGAGGGGTAATACTGAGGACGTTTACTATATGATGAGGTTCTTCTGTCGTTTGAGGGTTCAATTAGAAGGATTGATTTCTGATAGTTTTCTTTTTTCTGGGGTTAAAAGAGAAACTAATTGACATATTTAAAGGAGAACAGTTCTACTTATTCCTTATTGATAACAATGAATACTATGTCTAAAGATGATCATTGTTTTATATCATTTTCACATTTACAAAATTGTCAAGAACTATATGGGTACTTACAATATTGCATGAACTCATAATAACCATTCCATTCTGAGAAGCCAATGCAAGAACATCATCATTTGTGCAGCGTCGAACCCATTTTAGCTCATCACCAGGAACCTGTCATGTTAATGCATGAAAAATGCATATTTGTTATGTAAGAACAAGGGTATTTTAGGCAAAGGAAAAGGATAAGTGAAGGACACAAACCAACTGAATTGCTATAATTCCTGTTTGCCTGATTGCTGAAAAAGAGTTCAAAGAGACTTTTTTGATGTACCCATTCATTGTAAGCATAACCAGATATTGATCTCCAACAAACTCGCTTACAGGAATAATTGAAGTTATTCTCTCCCCATCAGATAAGGATAATATCTAGCACAAATTAGAAAATTAGATGGATAAACATTTAAGATAAAAATGTATTCCTCAGAGTAAAAAGAAATAAATATAACCCAGTTGATACCTGGACCAGAGGAGTTCCAGCAGCAGAACGGCTGCATTCTGGAATCTTGTATGCTCGAGCTGTGTACACTATTCCCCTATCACTGCAACAGGAATGAGTGTTATGGGTCCAAGAATTTTATGTCCTGAAGGGGCAATTAACAAACCCTATAGGGGGATATTGAGAACATGTTCAAGGCAAAGAAATTATCTTAAATAAATTAATCAGAAGAAAACCATATGGCAGGAGCATTTTGGAGATATTAGGGAAGAGAGGAACGGGGATATGCAAATAAGAGAGAGGTTGTGGTTGTCAAAATGGGCTGTTGGCATTGGCAGTGTTTTTTGGGATGGTTTGGCAAGGGTTAGGATAAACGATATGGCGGTTGATGCACCTCATTATAGTGCACAATTTTATAAAATATTGTTAATTGTAATTTTTAGACCCTTCAAAGGGATTATTCTGTAATCTGACTCTACTTAGAAATCTCTCTGTAATATTACATATTTTACAATGAAGGTAACAATCTATAGTGCTGGTGGTTGACAAAATTGACCATCCCATGGTTCTTCTTTCAAGCTACAACTCTTCCTTTCTAAAGAGGGGATCAAAATCCATCTAAAACAAATTGGAACCTCAATCCAATCACAAAGGAATATCTGGAGTAGGTCAAGGTGACACAAACACTAGAGTTGGAGGTTGATCTAAACAGCCAATTGGGAGAAATCAAGAAATCACTTACTAGGTAGGCATCTTTTTCTAGAAAAGAAAATTATCTTGCACTGATCAAAAAACAGTCATCAACGCTATCTCAGAACTATAATCGAATGAAACTCAAAGAGGCTTTTCTACATTTATATATCAAGATATATACAATTACAAGAAAGCCCTTACAGGGCTGAAAGAAGAAAAAATAAAAAACATGAAAAGATACAAGACACAACAAGGACTATACTAGCACAATACATCAGAACTCTCCACGGGTATATCCAAATTCTTGACAAAACCCAAAAATAATGCTTGATTTGGACTTCAACCAACTTAGCTCAATAGGGATACGGATGCAAACAGATTGAATCGAATTTGAATATGAATATGATTTGATTAGAATATAGGCTACATCCAACTACAAACTGAACCCAAGAAGAAGAGGAAGAAGAAGAAATATGGCATTTCATTGTTATAATTGTGGGCACCAGAAAATAACCCACTTCATGGCTAAATTATTGGATTCACCACCCATCATTGAAGATAAAAGGCAGTGATTGAACTCCTAGTTTTCGAATTCGAAACAAATTTTGATTTACAGAGACTCCAATATAGGGATAAGGATTACCCGGGTAAGCTGAGGAGAGAGGGAAGGTGTTAGGCACCCCTCTCCCCTTTCAATGCAAATGCCGCTTCCCTCGAATCAAGGTGCAATAATGGAGTTCAATCAAACCGGCAGTAGACCTCTTAACTAAAGACTTAAGAGTACAAATGGTGTGATAAAGTCTTGAATGGCACAAGAAAATTCTGCCCTATTGCTATGTTCAATGTCGATTTATCTGGATTCTTGCTATTATTTTTTTCATATTTCAAAGGATTGTTACTCACAGAGTGCTGGCTGGAGTTGGTTGAACTCACTTGGGCACCATTCCTACTCCTCACTGATTCCCAAGCATTTGCATTGGTTGCCAATGAGGGCGGCAGTACTAGGGTTCCCCCCTTCACACCTCTCTTGGCACCAATCAGCTACTATTCGATGAATTACGAGAGGGGAGTAGAGAATGTGGTGAGTTCAAACAAAAAATTGCAGGCTTTGAGGTGATTTTCTCCAATGCGTCATCCTCCATGCTGAACCTCAATGAATGGGGTGATACTGATAATTCCCCTTCACACCTTTCCTGAGGTCAATGGTTTACATGGGAGAAGACGATAGCCCTAGCGCCTATTGCCCTAAACCCTCTTGCGGTTTGTTCAAGGCAACAACAGAGAAAGAAAAGAAAAGGGAAAAACAAAGGAAAGGCTACATGCATCTCAGAAACGAAATGCCATGAATACCAAAGGTCCAAGAAATCCTTCTAGTCTCAAACCCAAGCTCTGGAGCTACCGACTTGAAGCTTCTGATGCTGCAGTGATAGGTACCCAAAGGAGTGTTGCGAGATACTAGTGGGGAGAGATGAAATAGCTCCAATTGATTCGAAATGGCCGGAAGCCGCCTATGCTCGCTATGAATACTAGAGATTCAGAGAAATCTCTTGATGCTTGAATCCCAAACTCTTGAGACGTCGGCTTTGCAGCTTTTGGGACGCCAGGGGCAGGTCGCCAAGGGGTTTGTCGTGAGAGGCCGGTCAAGAAAGATAAATAGCTCCGGCTAGGAAAGGGATGATTCAGATTTGCCGAAGTCCGCCGATGGCATCCATTCCTCTTCACTGTCAAGCTCTGGTTCTTTTCTCCTTTGAGTAAGAAAGGGAAGGGAAGATGAAGGGTTCAACAAGAGTATTCCCTCTCTTCCCTCTTTGGTAAAATTATATAAAAAAAGAACCTAAAATATGAGGTGCCAAATGACTGTGCAGAAATCTAGCTAATGTGGCAAGATTGTTTGAATGTGGGGGACCCTTTTCTCTAGGCTCATTCGATGCCTCTTGTCACCCCGACCATCCCCTATTTATAGGGTTAAGTATGGATAGTTTGGGCACTTTTGGTGTTTGTAGGGGTAAAAAGGTCCAAAAAAGGAAAATTTGGGGGTATTTTAGGTATGCAAGTGTGTGGGGATATTTCAGGTATTTTGAAAATTTTTAGGGGTAAGGTATTCCAAAATGTGTGAGTTTGGGTATTTTAAGGGCTTTCAGGGATAAAATGTCCAAACGAGGGAAATTTGGGGATATTTTGGGAAGAAAGGTGTTGGGGGTATTTTGGATATCTTGATGGTTTTTCACGGGTAAAAAGGTCCAAATGAGGTAAACATAGGGAGAATTCTTAGAAGGAAGATGTGTGAGGTGTGTGCTGGTTATTTTGAAGTTTTGAAGGGGGTTATAACAAAAGCTATAACAAGGGAATATTCTGATCCTAAGGTAAGCAACTTTTGGGTAGTCAAGATTTACTTAGGGAAGGTTGTTGTGTTGATGCTATATCATAAGGGAGTTGCGCAAACAAATTACAGCTTGTGAAATAGAATCTTGCTTGGCTTGAAGGCTAGGAATGGAGTTTTTAGGTGAAACATGGTGGGGTGAGTTATTCAAGGGTTCTGGATTCGTTGGTGGGATCAAATGGGTCTTAAGAGGTCTGCATCTAGGGGATTTATGAGATCATGGTTCTTGAACAATGAGGATAGCTAAAAAGGAATCTTGCTTCGACCAAGGAGCAAATGGCGGAGCATTGAGATGAACTTTGACARGCGAGGGTTTTACGGTACTCTAGGGGGTGTCCACTTTTTGGGTGTTCACAATAATCCAATAAACAAATATGTGGGAAGAAGAGAGGAAGAAAAAAGAGAGAAGAGACGAAGAAGATAAAAGTTTAGGAGACAAGGGTGGAACCCCCCTTTTAAAAGGCACGCTTAAGAGAAAACAAAAAATACAAAAATAACCCCTACAACTACAAGCAGTGATTTAAAAGGCACGCTTGGGGCGCGCCTAGGTGCACGAAGCGCCTACACGCATGGTATGCCTAGGCATGCGCCACAACCCAAGCATGTGCATTTTGAAAATTCCACTTTCTTTTTTGAACTTAGCGGCAGGGTCGGGGGCTCCGCCCCCCAAACCCCCATATCACGCCCCTCGAGGCAAGCCCAAACAAGTCTCGAGAAGCTTTGAGAACCCCCTATTGCTAATATTGTTCATTCATTCATCCTAATAAAATATCTTCTTAAAGCAATTACAATCATAAAATCATCAGTTTTGTGTGAGAACTAAGAATTTAACACCCTAACATGGACATGTTTGGGCTTGTCTCGAGGGGCGTGGCACAAAGGTGGCTCATAGAATCAGGAAAGTAATATGTTTTACATCACATTATCTACTTTAAGTAATGCAATTAAGGAAAAAAGAATTTGTGGGTTTTGCATACTTGAAAATGTTTTATATGCTTGATTTTATTTTTAAATTTTCATTTGAATATGTTTTACACGTTAAGTTTATGTGTTTAGTTTTAGATAATAGGTTTTTCAAAACATTTATTTTAATATTTATGTTTATATTTTTATTAATATTATGTTTAATATTTTTTTGCAGTTTTTGAATTTTTTGGCTTTTTTTTTTAATTTTCTGACATTTTTTAGTTTTTAGCATTTTTTGTATTTTTGTGCCTTGATTCAAAATGGCGCACGCCTCGCCTTACGCCTTGCCCTCAGTAGCAAATTGGCCCCTATGCCTTTTTTGCGCCTTCCACTTTTAAAACATTGGCTACAAGTACACATTACAACACTCAAAATCAAGTTGGGCAATAGATGTCCATCATGCCCAACTTCTTAAACAACTCATGCCACAAGAAGTTTACACCCTTTATAAAAACATCAGAAAGTTGTTCTTTAAAACTAATACAAGAAGTCCAAACTTCACCCTCTTTGGCCTTTTTCTCTAATAAAATGCATATCAACTAGTGTTTGTTCTTCCATGTAGACCTAGATTGGCAGAAATATTGATGGCTGCTTTATAAACTCACATATAGCTATTGAAAGCAAATCCAAGCTCCCCATGAGATTTTTGATCCACAGTATGTTAGACACTCTATGAGCCATGGCTTGGTACTCGGGAGATTAGGAGTTTGGGTGCTTCAGGAAAGAGAGTGATAAAGATGGTTAAGTTTTTCAGGTGAAATGAAAAATATGATGTAGAGTATAACTTTAGCAGACAATTATTTTTGGGATATTATTGTAATGAGTTGGCCCTTTTATTTCAACATAGGGAGTTTGTTTTGTTGGATTTGCAGGATAAGATGATAATTATAAAAGGGATGGAGGTTAACTTTGTATTCTTAATTTTTCTTTAATAAAATTTTTCCTTTCTATCAAAAAATCGAATTATGATTTAAATATACACATATAATGCCCATTAAGGAAATCTAGATTCAATAACAAGCCCTTCAAACATAAGATTTTTTTTCATCAATAACAAATTTCATTAATTAATCATAGAAATAATTACAAAGGGGAAGATAAACTTTCTTATCTTCCATCTGAAGCTTGAGCCCCCAAGAATAGAAAAAGAAACAAGTTACACCTGTGCCCAAAACATTGACTCCCTCTCCGCCCCTTGTCTAGCTAACCCATCAGCAAAAGAGTTAGCTAATCTTTTCACCAGCTGATCTTGACTTGCATCTCTTGAACCAGCCACCTAAATTTCCTCCTCTCATTGCTATAATTCCATAATCCATTGTTATCTTTATCCAGCCACCCTACAACCACCTCCGAGTCCCCTTTAATTATGAGTTTTCTTATATTCACCTCCTTAGCTCTCTGGACTCCTTCTATAAGCATAGATCTCGGCTCTGAGAGAGTCACCCACTTCAATAGGAACTAAGAACAGGGCTGAAACAAACCCATTCTCATCCCTAAACACACCCCCAATCCCCGAATGACCAGATTCCCCCTACTACTCCCGACAAAGTTTAGTTTTAAGAAACCAGCAGTGGGGGGGAGGGGGTCCAAGACACACTCATTACTGTTTTGGTCCGGGTGCAATTAGCAATCTCACCCCACTTCCTCAACATGTCATCCACTGTATAATCTGTGAACAGCTCTGAGGATTTCAGCCACTATACAACCCTTATATGGATCAGTTCTCTCAGTTCTTCAGCACCTCTCTCTACTTCAAAGAAGATCCTGGAGTTTCTTTCTTCCCATAAAGACCAGCATACCACAGTCCTCAGGCATCTCCACATGGTCCTTTCCCTTTTCATATGCCACCTGAAGAAAGAAAGGGAGAAAAGACTTTGCAAGTTTGATGGAGGATTCCAACTACACCCAAAGAGGGAGAAAGCCCACTCCCAAATAGACTTTGTAAACTAGCATGACACCAATAGGTGAAAACCAGTCTCCCCATCCGCTTTACAAAGAACAAACCTGTGAGGGGATAAACATATCTTGGGTCTCTTCTTTTGGAGCAGATCACCAGCATTGATTCTTTCCAGAAACGCCTCCCAATAAAAACGACCAACCCTAGGAGGAATTGGTTTGCACCAAACCTCATTAACAAGGAAGGGGAGGGCTACAAGACTAGAGGACTGGCTTAAGACTTTGAAGAAAAAAGCACAAGGGAATCCTTAAAAAATAAGATTTCATAACTTTCCAAAAAGAGTATATACAACAAGATATAAAATAAAAAGGAAAAGACTTGAAGCAGACATTACTAGAAGACAAAACCAACCTGAAGTAAAGGACATGATCGTGGGCATGACAAACTAGGACATCAGACATGGCATCATCCACTCTCATTTTTCCAACTGATTTACCAATGGTTCCACGATGTTGAAGGTTAAAGGTGTTAGGTTTCATTCGCTTAACATAGCCTTTTTCACTAAGAGCCTGAACATTTTAAACAAAATCCCAACACATAGTCAGATATTCAATGAATGGAGAAATAAGTAAAATACAAGAAGGCACCCAATACATAGAATGAGGTCTTCATATTAAATACCAGAAGTATTTCTTCATTTGGGATAACATCTATTTCTTCAAGTTGACCATTGTCAGCATCTTCCAACATAGAACGCCTTGGAGTGGAGAATTTGTTCTTTAGTTCAGTTGCTTCTTGTTCTATTAACTATGTGTAAAGAAGCAAAAGAGAGAGGCAAAGAGATTAATACCTTGAAAGGAAGAATAAAGTAAACAGAAAGAATATATATTTCCACGGAGATAATGAAAAGAAAAGTTAGCACATCTATGATTAGGAATGCCAACCACTACTTCCCACTAGGATATCTCAAACACATAAACAGTGTATGTGCTAGGTGAATTAGTTACAAGCTACTCACCTGAAATTGTTTATGTTCTTTATCTTATTAGTCAGTTTAATTAGTTGATTCTGTTGGCCTTATTAATCAGATAATGAGCACATCCAAGGTTCCTCACCTTGAGGACACAGAAAGAGTGCTCAGGTATCTGAAGCCTTCTTCAGGTAGAGACAAATCTTTTGTCTGCAAATCATGGACAGTTTAGAAAAGAAGCAGTGCACAGATACTGATTGAAGAGGCAATCAACAATAAAAAAAAACTACATTTAGATTATGGATATTGCACTCTAGATAATGGAAATCTAGTCAAATGACTGAAGAAACAATCTATTCTTGACATATCCAGTGCAAAAGTAGAATTCAGAGCAATAGCTCACGATGCATGAGTTCTTATAGTCGAAATTGTTATTAACAGAGATTCAAGGTACAAAATTATAGGTCCATGTTGTTACAAAAAAGATGAAATTAGTATAGCTTACATCTCAATGCAACATGACCACACAAAAGGTGTGCTTACCCTATTTGAAGACTGAAGAGTAATTTTATGATATGTGATGAGACCAAAAAGAACCCTATTTTTGACCCCTAATATTCATCTTTTTACATCACTTTAGCACTTAAATGGACTCATTACTCTTGTATTTCGATTCAGGGCAAGAAAGAAGGCAATTGGAAGAAAACAGGGCAATTCTGGACTCCGATTTGCACAATTCAAGAGGCATTAGAAAGATGAAAGGAAGGCCCACAACTTTTATGTTTTGGGTTTTTACAGATTCGGTCCACATCGAGTACGAAACCGGGCCCAAAGTCGGAGCAATTTCGCAACAAAGCACATTTCACAACTGATGCCCATTTCGCAGAAGAGCCTGGAAGCAGCCCAAATTGTCAAAGAAGCCCAACTCAAATTCAAGAACCAAGAGTCTCATTAGAATAGAAGTTGAATGTAATCTTAAGAAAGAAAGTCTTATCAAATTTAAATTTTCAATTATAATCCTAGAAAGATAAGAGATTGAGATGAGAGATAGGATAGGATAAGTTCAAATCAGATTAGGACTTTCTAAATTTAAAGTTAATCTCCTAATGGGAGTTGGAAAACAGCCCTCTCCCAAAAGCTATATAAAGGGGGGGCGGACTAACACTGAAGGCACTCAACCTTGGAGAGAAGAACTAAGCAAGCAAAGAGAAAGAAAGCAGATTTGGAGCAGCCGAACCTCTCTCTCTTCTCCTCTCTTCTTCGTTCTCTGATTTTCTTGGAGTTTTCGCCATGACCATGCGTGGCTAAACTCTTGTACTTGGTCGAAGAAAGCAGAAACCTCAGGATTCACCAACTGTGAGATCTAATTTAGTTTTCATTGTTCAATTCATGTTTTGGGTATCGAATGTTCTTCTATGTTTATATCTATGGTTGTTTCGTTTGATTGCTAGGAAGGCCTACTAGCTTATTATTCGTTACAATCTATTACTAGATTAGATATCAAATCCGTAATTGTTTGATCCCTCTAATCTGCGAAGCAACTGGGGTTTAATGATTTGCTACGTCAGGAATTGTTAGATCCTAGGAAGAACAGTCGACTAACTTAAATGCAACCGCTTGTGCTTGTGTTGTTTAGATTCATCGATCTCTAATGCTTAATGCTATTGCTGGATTAAATTTTTAATGCTTGTTTAAGGGTTGTTCAGTAATAAGGGTTAAAAGGATCGCTTGTTTTCCGATTAACTAATAGTAGGAAGATGCAGGAGAATAATTCCTACGATGAATATCCAAAGTCTGAATTGATTTATCATTGCATCGATGAACAGTAGCGTGATTCTGATGGTGGATGTTATCCTAAACCAAGATTCGTTTCTTGATTTCTCATTTAAATTTCGTTCTCTTTATTTTTGATTTTCTTTATTTTAAATCTGATTTTCGTTACATACACCCCCCCTTCATCTTTAATTCACGTAGCACATAATTCAGGTTAGATACTCCCTGTGGGAACGATCCCTACTCGCACTGCTACATTCCATCTTTACGAGTAGAGGTTTATTTTTGGGTGCCTACGACAGCACACTAATATGTCAACCAAAAAAGTTTCAGAATCCAAATTACTTTATGCATTTAGCAACTTGAGAATCTATTCTTCCACTTGAGGGGCAGAACAAAGAGAAGGGAGACTCTTTTTGACCCTTTTGTATTTGTGTTATGGGCAGAGTACTATATTTTTTGCATTAATAACACAAAGTATAAATATTAATAGAGTGCTCACACACCCATAACTGATTGAACTTTTCTTTTCATTATCACGATGTCTCCTCCTCTCACTTCTCTATATCCATCACAGTCACTCTTAATCTTTTAATTTGTTATTTTACTCTTATTCTTGAAAAGCTACTGGTCTGAATACTCAAACCATCCTACCACATTCATCCCTAAACCAACCTATAATCCAAGTATACAGAAATTTGGCAATTTCCCACACTAACAGAATTTTTCATCCTTTTTGTATGAAACCTGCTTAGAATGATTTCAAATTAAATAACTCATCATAACATCTCTATACTAATTCACACAGAAAATATAGAGCAGAAGAAAAAACCTGGAATATTTGTTTTTTGCTAGATAAAAGATCATGCAACTTGGTAATTTGTTCTGTCAAGGATATACTTTCATCAACGAACTTTTTACGCTGCATAGCAATCAAAATTACCAAACTTCAGTCAATGCATTAGTTCTTCACAAAGTTAAAGGAATAACATAAATGAGCTAACCAACATATTAAGAATGAGAAGGCCAGACTGCACCTCAAGATGAGTAAGTTTCCTCAGGGTTATATCAAGTAAAGCTTCAGCTTGTTTCTCAGACAAATCAAACTCTACATTAGACAAATATGATGTAGTCAAACCAAATGTGCTCACAAGCATTTTATATCCTGAAAAGCTCAAGAACCAATACCTACACAAAAACATATTTAAGTAAACAAACCAACTGCACCAGAAATGGAGATTGATCGGACCCTAGAGGTGGCCAGCTGTCAAATGGGAGATTTTCTTGAAGCTACGAATTCCTCCTATTTATACACTTTAGCATTTTAAATAGGAGATTTTCTTGAAGCTTCTGGTCACAAATTTCATGTCAGCATAGGTGGCCAGCTGTCAAATTCAAGGTTTGGCTCAATCTGCTAACTTGCAACCCAGGTCAGATAGACTCAGTTCCGTTTTAGTTCAAGACGAGTTCAACCAGGTCAATGGCCTTTTACATGTCTATGCTCTTGCACTAGGAAAAGCAGTAAGGAGGACTATTGAGATTGATCACACTTGCATGACCTATCATTTGGTAATTTGTCAAAGAATACTTCACTTGTTATTAATGGAAGCCTTTGGGGATCACCAGTTATGAGGAAAGCCTGGGCTGCCTATGGAAGGAATGAGAGTTGCTTGAGGAGTTAATTATCCTAAATGGGTTCAATCTTTTTGCAAGGCTATTGTGTTAAAGGAAAGTTGTAGTATATGGCAGTGACCATTAAGCAGCATCCTTCTCATGCAAATTAGGAACAAGAACACTACATGGAGACAACTTGCTTTCGTAGTTTGATGCTTCCTCAGATAAACAAGAATTATTTAAAGATGAAGAATGAAGTTGAAAAACAATGCAGAAAGTTAATCTACTCACAAATAACCCAAGATTTCCATAGAGATATCTAACTATTTTGATTTTCCATTTAAACACACCTTGATCTTAATGTTGCCCACCTTCCATAATTAATATAATATAAGAAAGTCATAAATCATCAACAATCCAATCAGGTCATTCAGCTCCTATAATAGAAATCATACTACTTCCTTACAATGCAACTATTGGCCCTAGGATTAGATCTATAGGGCACCAAAAAGAGCTCCGTGATTTGTACATTAGGGATAACCGAACTTACTTCTCTTGTGACCTCTATATATATTGACTTTTAGACATCCCAAGGGTGGTTTAAGACCCATTAGACTTTCCAACCTTAAGGATTAGGATTTACAAAAGTTCAATAACCGGACTGGGCATAGAACTGGAAAAAGGAGAGGTTCGTGAGTCAGAGGTCCAACCATGGTCAAACAGAGGGTCGAACCATGATGACGTAATCTAAATGCAAATCTACTGCAGGTCACATAAATACTATAATATATTTTACAAACATTATGACACTTATATGTGGTGTATAGATGGCTAGTTTCTAAATTTTCAAACCAAATGACCAGGGTTCAAGCCTCTCAACTTACATTTCTTTAAAACATGTGTTTTAAAGCAATATACACATTAAAGAGGCATAAATAACACAAATAAAGAGAATGGATTAGTAGTAACAAGACAATACACAGAAAAAAAAGAGGTCTTGGGTTCAATTCTTGTCATTACCATTTTGAAGTTTCAATTCATGTGGTGATCCAGGTGGTTTTACAAAACCAAAACGATTTTACTGGTTTCTTGTTAAACTGGCCAGTTAGCCGATTTTGGTTGATTTTCATAAATTACAGTTTTCTGGGTATGACTCAACCGATGGGGGCCCATGTCACAATTCAACCGGTTCGACAAGCTGATCCAATCTGGTTTTCTAAACAATGGGATTTCCCAAAGAGATACTTTATCTATCTACTCTTGGAATCATTATTCCACTATTCGCAATTACGTAAGTCCAGGAAATTATCAAAGAGGCCTTTTCTTGCAAAGTAAAAGCATAGGTCTAACCAATATAATAATGGCAAAATCAGAAAGGGAATATGGGATACATAAAGAATCACTGGTTGAAACAACAAGCATCACCTATTGATTTATCGAAATGTTCTAATAACAATGGGCCACAACCTCCAAGAAATCAATTTTAAAAACATTTCTTGACTATACTGTATTTCGAAATATAAATACTTTATCAAACAATACCTTCTTGGATTTATCAAAAAACAATAATTATTGAAAACATATTTAAAAACATTTTTTTGATAAATGAGTAGTTCTATTAATTCAAATAACGAAAATACAATCAGCCTAGGAGAAGGCACGAGATGTTACCTCCCCGAGGACTGAACAAAATATACTAAACATGCCCAAGCCTGAAACACTATTACAAAGTAGCCCAAAACAGATCTCCCCTTGACACCCCTTGCTTGGCCAGAGAATCAGCCATGATCTGCTGACCCACTGAAACCTGAGAGTCATATTTCTTGTTATCCATTTAACTTTCTTTAACAGATCCCTATAGCCCCAACAAGCTGTTACTGGGCTTATCAGCCAGCCCACTACTACCTTGGAATCCCCTTCTACTAACAAATTGTTCACTCCAATTTGACTAGCCATTTGTATACCTTGTACCACTGCTAGTAACTCTGCAGTTACAGAATCACCTTCACCCACTGGTCTTGAAAACAGAGACAACATATTGTCGTCTTTGTCTCTCAGAATCCCACCAATTCCGGATGGCCCTGGGTTACCTTGGCAACTGCCATCAAAAGTCAATTTTACCACTCCATCTGGTGGGGGTTTCCATTCAAGTTGTGATTTGTTCTTGGTGGAGACTGTAGAAGCCACTGCTGCCCAGTTTCTCCTTAAGTCATCAAAGGAGTAATCTGCCAACAAATGTGAAGAATTTAACCATGAGATTTTCCTTGTCAATATGCATTCCTTGGTTTCAGCAAGGCTTCTTTACTTTTCTTGAAATATTCTAGCATTTCTCTCCATCCATAATATTCACAAGGTAGTGGCTCTGATACATTTCCACATAAGCTTCCCTCTTTTTGTCAATCTCCTAAAAGCAGCCGAAGTGAACAACAGCTCTACTTCAGAGGGCAAGTTCCACCTGCACCCAAATAAGGAAGCAACCCAATTCCAAATAATGCCAGCAAAGGAACACGATATCAGCAAATGGTTACAGTCCTATTCCTTCAATTTACACAGAAAGCACCACTTTGGGGACAAACACATAAAAGGTTTCTTCTTTTGCAAGTTTTCCACAGTATTGATCTTACCGTAATAGGCTTTCCAACAAAACACAGCTATTTTGGGGGATAATGGCCTTGACCAAACCTCTTTAACAGGAAGACATGAGAGGAGGCGTTGGAGCAAAGGGCTTTAAAGAAAGATGCACAAGTGAAGGAGCCAACCGAGGTTAGGGACTAGACCCTTTTATCCGGGTTAGGGGGGTCCAGACACACCGAACCAAGATGCAACAATAGCTCTAAAAAACAAAGAAATTCTTCATCCCTTAACCCTCTTCGAAACCCAAAATCCCAGTTTAAAGCCAAAGGGCAAACCGGGGAAAGGAACCAAGAAATGGRTTTCTTTAGGGAGATGGAATAGAGAGAAGGGAAACGGTCTTTTAGTGGTTGACTGCTCACCCAAGTATCTTCCAAAAAAGAAAGGAGTTTCCAGAACAAGCATCATACCTTACAAATCTGAAGAATTAAGGGAGAATGCCAAAGATAGACTTCCAACGTGTTGTGAGCAAAGCCCTTAGGGATACCCCCCGCATCCCAACTTGATTCAGAATAGCCATGGATACTTTTCACTATTTAATGCGACAACCTCTCCCTATCCAAGGGGCACCACCAAAGCCACTTCCCTAAAAGAGCCTCATTCTTGCTCACCACATTCCCTAAGCCTAGGCCCCCACCTAAGAAGTCCCTCATAAGTTTTTCCAACATCTTTGCCCCCCTTTTAGGAATTATAAAAACTGACAGGAAGTATAAAGGCAAGTCTAAAATTTCTTTAATCGAAGTAACTCTACCCCCCACAGAAATATAGTTTCTCTTCCAAGCAGCCAATCTTTTTTCGAATTGTTCAAGCACAGGGTTCCAAAACCTACTTTCCTTTGGATTTGCACCTAATGGAAGTCATAGGTAGGAGAGGCCACTAAGAGCAAGTGCATTCTAACAAGGCTGCTAAAGACTCCATATCCTCTCTGTTCAAATGAACTCCCACAACACAGCTCTTCTGAAAATTTACCTTCAAATTTGAGGCCCTCTCAAAGTGAATTATTAAATCCTTCAAATTCCTTACCACCATCAGAAAACAACCTTCGCAAAAGATTATTATGTCATCTGCAAATTGAAGATGCATTACTGAAACTCCATCTCTACCTATTCTCCACCCTCTTAGAGATCTGGCTCTATACGCTTCTGAGAGGTCTACTAAAAGCATCGGAAACTAAAGTGAAAAGGAATGGCGACATGGGATCACCTTGTCTTAGGCCCCTACTAGTTGGGAAAAAATCATTAACTACCCTACTGACTAGGATGGAATAATTGCAAAAGGAAAGGCAACCGTTTATCCATTTGCACCATTTAACCCCAAACCCACACTTCCTTACCACAAGTAATAAGAATCCCCAATCCACCAAGGCATAGGCATTTTCAAGATCTAATAAACAAACATAACCTTGGCAACCCGATCTCCTCATCTCCTCCACAAATTCATTTGCTATTAGAATCCGATCTACAATTTGTCTCCCCCGAAGAAAAGCTCCTTGCGCTTGGTTGATAAGACAAGGAAGCACCTTTTTTATGCTCAAAGAAAAGACCTTAGCCACAATCTTGTATACACTAATCACCAAACTAATAGGGCTAAAATCCTTTGGATGCTTGGCCTCCTTCTTCTTGGGAATTAAGGCTAAAAAAGTAGCGTTAATTCCACGACTCATCACTGGATTATCCTCAAATTCCTCGAAGACCTCAATTAAATATTCTTTGACTATGTCCCAACAATCTTGAAAGAAAGCCATTGTAAACCCATATGGCCCTAGTGCTTTAGATTTGTCCATGGAAAAAACAACTTTTCTAATTTCTTCCTCCTTAAAATTCCTTTCCAACCAGCTTCTACTCTCTTCTGGAAGCCTCTGCC